AACTGGAATAATTAATTTGATTGTTAATTTTGTATTTTGTTCTATTTCCAAGAGCACCACAGATAAAATCCTTTCTGCTTCTGACAGGGTGCATTCCTAAACACTTCTTGCAGTAGTTGCTGTCACTAATTACTTGAAAGCAAACTGAGAATCTTATCTTAAATGTAAAGCTTTAAAACAATAGATTTGTATTAATATTCAACTCTAGAATCTGTTCAATTAATGTTTTTCTGTGATTCTTTGCCTAATTTTGAAATTCCTCTACAGGAGCTTCCCTCTCAATATTCTGATGTAGCCAATACATAGCCCACCAACCAAAAAAAAAATTTTTTTTTTTTTAAAGACAGTTAAACTTGGAAGGTCCAGATCATGGGCAGTTGGGGAAGGTCGGGCTGTGGGAGGCAAGCCTCCGGCCCTGCCCCTTTAGCCGAGGCCCCATCCCCCACAACGGGGAGGGAAGGAGAGTGGATGGGCAAGTGTGCACGCTCCAGTCTAGGAGTGCAGGGAGACTGGGTAGTGCGCAGCTTCAGCTTCCCCAGCCCGAGCATGGGGAGGGATGGCACTCGAGGCAGCAACACTCCATCCTCAGTACACCTACAGTAGGCGTTCTGGGGACGGAGTGTGAGCGGGGCCAGGTTGGCAGTTGATACGGGCCACCTGTGATCCAGATTATTATCAAGTATCCAGTGCAGTTGTCCAAGACAGGAACTTGGAAGTTCCTACTTCTGAAAAAGGACAGTTGTTCTTTTGAGATTTTAAACAACGTTAGAATGACTCTCAACTACTGGCTGCAATAAGTATTTCACTTAATATTTATAAAAGGCAGCATCAGTCCAAGTCATTGCCACATATTTTGCCCAATCGCTATTATATTTGTTCCTATTGAGAATACATTGATTGAAATATGGTTTTTGATGACATCTGCCCTGCTGTTTCCATAAAGCGATTGTGGCTCAGTTGTTGTTTCCATTCATCTGTTTTTTCAGTAGTAACCTTTTTGCTTTACTTGAGACAGTGTTGACCTTTACAGTGGCCAGTTTTGAACACTGCACACTTAGAGCTCCTCCTGAAGTGCCACAGGAAAAGATAAATTACACTTCTATTAAACAAAATTCATCCTCTGCTTAATAACTCTACAGGAAAAGTAATGATTGAAGAAGAGGTGAAAGAAGAAATAAAAGAAGAGATGGAATCTCACGCAGGCACAGAAGAAGGTACATCTGTAATTTTTATACTGCATGGCCAAGCTTCTCAGAAGGCAACAACAATTCTGAATGAATTTCATCAAGTGGTATAAGTCTAAAATTAGACTTATTTTGAATTTAAAATTAGCATAATATGGCACAGAATTTTTTAAAAAAAGCCATCCGTCCATTGCCAAGAACCAAAATATTTTTAAAATGTACCTTCTGGAAATCAACAAACTTGAATTCTCTTTGCTGGTTCTGCAGATATAGTAAACAATACCAGTGTCCTCAGTCGATTTGAGCTCTGGGAGCAATTGGGAGAGAACAAAGGGCCATAGTTGATTCGAATTAAAGCCAGAAGTAAAACTCCCATTGTGGTAATTCAGCTACAAGGCTGATCACACTAGCAAGATTCACATTCAGAAGAAATGGTCACAGTCTTATGGCTTGGTGCATATGGAAAATATATTCCTTGTTGTGTCTTGTGCTATATTATCCTCTAGTAGTAGCTTTTAATATAATAGTATCCCAAGTTTGTGAATCTGAAACAGATGGCAGGCACCACATCATCAACAGGAGGAACCCTTGCAATACCCAGATTAGATGGTTCACCTATTTTGGTATCTTGCTTGCAGCAGTTGCCAATATTTGATACTTCAGAGGAATTATCTTTTGCTCCACTTCAGTTGCAGTGGTGTACAATATGTCTCTGAAGTATGAGATGTGATTTCTCTCATCACTTTACGTAGGACCTTGTACTGTATAATCAGTGACAATTCTGTTATCCATTTTAATAAGAGAAAGATCAACCCCATTGTTAGTGGTTGTGAAATTAACCGGTTATATCGGGGTGGGGAACTTTTTGGGGGTTGGGGGCCACTGACTCTCAGAAAAATCAGTCAGGGGCCGTACACAGTTGAGAAGCAAAAAAACAAACACAAACCAAAAACAACCATCACTGACTGAGAAGGAGAAATATGTTCCCCTCATGCTACAGAGGCGGGGGAGGGAAGATCGCTTCCTGGGCTCCTCAATGTTGGGGGGGCATGAGCTTTGGGTGCCAGATCCAAGCAAGCCCGGAGCCGCATCCAGCCCCTGGGCCCGAGGTTCCCCGTCCCTGAGTTATATCATAAAATACTTGAGTTTATTTTTAAAATCCAGCTGCAATATTTACCTCAGTGACCTTCAATGGTAATGAATTTCATAGGTTGACCATGTGCCCTGTAAAATAGAAGTTCTTTAAGAATAAGCTAAAATTGCAATATAATCTAGGTTAGTGGATTGTATTATTATTTGAATTTTATAATTATGTAAAGCATTTTAAGGACAAATAATAAAAGTAAGGGATTTATTTTAAATATTTTTTTCTCTTTAAATTGGGGAGAATACTTGCTTACTTACAAGGATGTTGGGAGCCTTAATCGATTTGAAAATTGTTACATAATGTAAAAAATAAGCCTGATTTTGGAGTCATTGCTTTGATCCCTTTTCAGTTTATGTACCTTCAGGAAACTTGGGAAAAGCAGCTGAAAAACCAAGCAGCAAAGAGAAAGAAAGGAGTTCATCAGATTCTGGGTCCAAAGAAGGAGCTGATAAACGGAAACGTAACAGAGTCACTGAAAAGGTCCTGAATGCAAACAGCAATCCCTCCAGTCCAAGTGCTGCAAAACGGCGCAGAACTTAAGAGAATACAGTGAAAAGATGGGTGCTTTTAACTACAGAACCAGGGATGGGAACAGTAGAACGGAATAAGAGAGAAGGAAGGTTGTTATAAAGATTTATTAAGTGGAGAAAAAACTACTTGTCCAGATATAAAAAGCATCAGCACATTGTCATCATGTGTGGCATGGGTTTCTGTGTCTTCTCGTAAGGAGTTGCTTGCCTGTCAGTGTCACATAGCTAATTGATGGCTACATTCTCAGGATACTGAAGGAGAGAATTGGCAGCTTTACAAGCATGTGTGTACTTAACAAGTCAGGTGGTAGCATTTTAAAATATTAATAATGCACATAGACACACACGTTCTGTGTTAACAGAGTTTGTGAAATAAGCTCTTAGCGGAACAAGGAGCCTCAGTTCTTGAAAAGCTTAGGTCATTTATTTAAAGTTTGGATCCCTTTCCTGTCTTATTTTTATTGCTTTTTTGAGGGACTATTATGGCCCCTTTGTGGGTTACTGTTTTTAGGACATACATTTTGTATAGAATGTTATAGCAAGAACACCATTTTCTATCAAGTGCCTGGCTTTGCTGGCCCAGTAAAACTAAAAGCCAGCACATTAAATACAGATCTAAGGTGAAGCATTCTTTGTTACTCTTCTGTTTGAGGGAGGGGAAAAGTAAACCCTCTGTCTCTTAGAGACTTGTATGGTATAATTTATTTTTCAGCCTTTGAGTTTATATTGTAAATAAAGCAAGATGTTAAATGTTTCTAGACAGAAGTCCTCATAAGTGGCTTAAACTAAAATGTCCGTTAATGCTATGTGGTATGAAAGGGATCCACTGGGCTATGCAAGAACATGGTTGTACTGTAATAATGTATATAACTGTTGTTTTTGTATTTCACTATTTAATTCTTTTTTTTAAAAGCTATTTTTTCAAAGGGCTGTTAAATGGAAGTAATAATATAAAACATTAATCTTATGCTGTACTTTCCTGTAGTAATTTTAGTTCAGACTTTTACTGATATTTTGAAACTTGTTTTTAGTCTTACATGCCAGAGTATTAAGAATTGGTAGCAATTACTATTTTTTTAATTGCCAGAAAATGATTAATTCCCGTTTACTCCTTTTCTTCTTCCTGACAAACTGATTTTAGTAAGTGTATCTGTTAAACTGGTGAATGAAGCATACTGAACTGTTACTGGGTTCTATCTTTACAGTATTAACTTTACTGTTAAATTAAAAAAAACCACTCAACATGTTTGTCATGCAGCATTGTCATTTACTTGAAGAAGTGCGAATCTAATAGCCTTTGTTTTAAGGCATATACCCAGTCAAATTTTTACCCAGTGACTCATTAATTTCATTTCCTTCATACAAGCATTAAGTTTGGCTCATGGGCTGCGTCTAGACTGGCATGATTTTGCGGAAATACTTTTAACGGAAAAAAAATTCCGTTAAAAGTATTTCCACAAAAGAGCGTCTAGATTGGCAAGTATGCTTTTGCGCAAAAAGTGCTTTTGCGCAAAAGCATCCATGCCAATCTAGACGTGCTTTTGCGCAAAAGCATCCATGCCAATCTAGACGTGCTTTTGCGCAAAAGCATCCATGCCAATCTAGACGTGCTTTTGCGCAAAAGCATCCATGCCAATCTAGACGTGCTTTTGCGCAAAAGCATCCATGCCAATCTAGACGTGCTTTTGCGCAAAAGCATCCATGCCAATCTAGACGTGCTTTTGCGCAAAAGCATCCATGCCAATCTAGACGTGCTTTTGCGCAAAAGCATCCATGCCAATCTAGACGTGCTTTTGCGCAAAAGCATCCATGCCAATCTAGACGTGCTTTTGCGCAAAAGCATCCATGCCAATCTAGACGTGCTTTTGCGCAAAAGCATCCATGCCAATCTAGACGTGCTTTTGCGCAAAAGCATCCATGCCAATCTAGACGTGCTTTTGCGCAAAAGCATCCATGCCAATCTAGACGTGCTTTTGCGCAAAAGCATCCATGCCAATCTAGACGTGCTTTTGCACAAGAAAGCTCTGATGGCCATTTTAGCCATCGGTCTTTCTTGCACAAAAAATTAAGGTGCCTGTCTACACTGGCCCTCTTGTGCAAGTATTCTTGCGCAAGAGGTCTTATCCCTGAGCGGGAGCGTGAAAGTATTTGCGCAAGAAGCACTGATTTTGTACATTACAAAGTCAGTGCGCAAATTCAAGCGGCCAGTGTAGACAGCTGGCAAGTTTTTGCGCAAAAGCAATTGCTTTTGCCCAAAATCTTGCCAGTCTAGACGCACCTATGCTGTTTTATTAGTTGCTCTTTGTTGAAAACTAGCTAAAAAACCAGGTTTAGGATTACAGGCAGTCCCCGGGTTATGTACAAGATAGGGACTGTAGGTTTGTTCTTAAGTTGAATCTGTATGTAAGTCAGAACTGGTGTCCAGATTCAGTGGCTGAATCTGGATGCCAGTTCCGACTTACATACAGATTCAACTTAAGAACAA